AACTTGTTATTTGACTTACTTCGTTGCTATGTAGCTCCGTGCATTCGAAGTCTCAAGAAAGAGAGATACGAGAATGACGGTCTCAAATTATATTTTATCAGAGCAACCAAACGAGTTGCCAACTCGAAGTTAGTCAATCCAGATTGTGCGCCGGTGTAGATCGAAGGACAGAGCAGCGCGCTAATAACGTATGCACCGCACAGCTGGTACCGGCGCGTTTTGTTCTTCTTGGCGCTACAGGTTCTTGAATTTCACACACACACACACACACACACACACACACACACACACACACACACACACACACACACACACACACACACACATACACATCGCATCGCGCACGATAGGGTTAGTTGCTGCTCCTCTCTGGTCTCTCGTTGCTTACATTCTCTCTCTTTTTCCCGTCACTCTCTCCCGATCTTCCGTTCACGTTCTCACATCATTTCCCCGTCGGACGGAACCCCCTATTGTTTTATATAGCGAGACCAGTTTTTGTTTCATTCTGCCATCCTTTCCTTCTCTCTCGCACTCTCTGTCTCTTTAGCTTATTATATATATATATATATATATATATGGCTTTCGAGCGCTCCATTTGTGTATGCCGATTGTTCGCACGGGCAAACTTTCGAACCCGATTCGCTGCGAGCGTCGCGGAGAAAGGAGCGTAGAGGGTCGGATGAATCCGGTCAAACGGCGCGAGAGCAGAACGATAGCCGAGAAAAAAATGAGACAATGAAGGGGTTAAAGTTGATACAATTGAACGAGAAAATCGTCGCCGCGTCGGTACTGGCCTGATTTATTTTCGCTGTTACCCTTTGCCCCCGCTCCACGTTAACCCCCGTCTTCACGCGCGGGAAACATCGCACACCATTGTTTTTCCGGCATGGACTCGCGGGGAAGCAAAACCAAAAAAAAACCCCGTGACGATTTAAAAAGCGCTATGCGCGAAGTACGAATATGAATCATTGCCCGTAACTAGCGGAAGCGTTTTGTGACGAGGAAATTATTTTGTCCTGGACACGGTGAATTGTTTGACATGTATGAATTTGAAATGCAATAAGATATATGTACAATAAGAAATTATGACTGTGTCCCAAGGAATTTAACATATACTATTACTATTATTATTAAAAAATAAAAAACAAATTTTAATATTATTACAATATGAATATTATGACGATTATTATATTAATAGAATTATAATTTCTTTACTGAAATAAATAAAGTAATTAAGCTATAATAAAAGACATATTACTTAAAAATGTTTATTATTTTATTTATAAATTATAATTATAATATTAGTTTATAAATTATAATATTTTCTCTAAATATTACTTTTTTTTTCTCTAAATATTACTTATTTTTTGGAGAAAGAGAAAAAAGGGAAAGATCTTCCATTTTTTTATCTATATCTAAAGATTTATATTGCCAACAATTATATACCTTTTTAATATTTCGGAATACATAACATTATTTATTTATAATATAAATAATATATCTATATTTCTCTATACATAAAAATATTAAGTCACTTATTTTTATATATTCATAATAAATATTCAAATTTTATTCCATGTCCTTAATACATAAGTAATTGTCTTCATATAATTGCGCGCTTCATATTTGCTTAATAAGAATTTAGCATGGTGTTAATTTTTGTATAACAATTTCATATACAATCTCTTGTGAGAAATCTTATTTTGTACAATTACAATACAATAACGCATCATCAATAAAATGGATGATATTGCGCTATTGTGTATCCTAAGAGACTTGTCCCAGATTCGTGATAAACATTCATCCAACTATTCATTCGCATGCAGCTATTCGTCATTTTCACTCATTTATTCCACCCACAGAGTTTTTCCCCATCGAGCCCTCGCTCGTCTGACGATAATCCGTCATTCCGACGCGGCGGATCAGGGGAAATCGGAGATGGAGGAGGGAGGAAGGTAGAAATTGAAATGCTAAAAGCGAAATTGGGTAGGAATTAGGAAAAACGCCGCGAGATGGGACGGTGTTTACCCATCGTTGTTGGAAGGGTGCGCGAAGGTGGGCCCCATGACGAAGTCGGAGATTTCTCCATCCCTCGTTGAGAGAACGACGATGCGGAATTGGCGCTGGCCACCCTCCCTTGCCCAGTGGCTGCTGCATGCCCGATGAGGGCGAGGGCGAGAGCGAGGGCGATGAGGCGGGGGCACCGTGTTAGCGTGGCAAAGGGGAGACCAGATCGAAACGCCGGGGGTGAGGGTCGGCTACGGGGTCGCGACGATGGAGCGTGCTCCGAGTGCCGCGTAAATAACTTCCATCTTCGAGGGTGCAGCCGCCTCTGTGAGAGGCGAAGGAAGATGAGAAAGAAAAGAGGAGGAGGAGGAAGAGGAGGAGAAGGTGGAGGAGGAGAACGACTCTCGAAGTCGAGGGCAAAAGAGAACGAGAAGAAAAAGAAAGTTTGAGGGTGGAAGCGGGAAAGAAGAGCGGAGATGGCGCCGGTTATAGGGAGGCAACAGCGGAGTCAGTCGCATAGCGTACGGAAGATAGACGTAAAATATTTCTTAATGAGCAAAGACTTTCAAGTATTGACTCAAAATGGCGGCTGTCCTTTCAAGTCGGCTTGTTAAGCATTATCCCGCACCGCGGCAGCCTTTCCTCATTCCTCGCCCCCGTGCTTTTCTTTGTGCCAACCTCACCTCGATGTTTCCCCTCTCAGCATTGCCTCATGTTCCACTGTCCCCATCATTGGACACAGAGCTGTTCGGAAAAATTCCGGAGGGATGACGAAAAGTCGGTCTTGCTCGATAATTTCGCTCGATAATTTCGTTCGAAATAAATAAACATTTAAAAAATTATAAAATTATCGCAAATATTCATATTTCATACATTAGATATACTTCTCTATATATTTTTATATTTTTTATATTTTTTATATTTCTCTATATATACTTATATTACTTCTCTATATATTTTTACATTTTTATAATAAATATTAATTTATATTCATCTCTGTTAACTTTCAGATAAATAAATAAATAAATAAATTTCAGATAAAAGCTAATAACATAAAGCAATACTTGATTATATTATATCTTAATTTATATAATATAATAAATAAATAATAAATAAATAATAAATAAATAATATTAATATTATATTTATTCAGTATAATGCGAATTCCTGACGATCATGTATAATATTGATGTAAAAAAAAACGATAGATAAAATAAATTGATTTCTGCCTAACAAATTAATTAATATAAGAAACACATATTAATAATTTGTAAAAAATTATGCAATTTGTCATATCCAATTATACTTTTTATACTCATTCATCTATTTGGATTATTAGATGGACAAAGAACATGGAATGATCACGTGATCGGTTATATAAAAATCAAAGATATTATATACCGACCGATATAATAATCGTTTCAATTGTATTATTAGTTAAATTATATCAAATCTAAGAAGCGTTTATAAAATATTTATGCATTGCTTCATCTTTTAATTTCTTATTAAATCACATTACATTATTCTATAAATGTTAATGCAAATTCGGTCAACAAAGTTAGTAGTTTTATCATTTTCTTTTCTTGCCCAAAAAATAAATATTTTTTAAAATAATAAATATTTTTAAATTTCTTTTTTATTTTTTTTATTTTTTCTTAAGTTCAAATTTACAAAATTCTTCATATAAATTCATTATTTCATACAAGTATATAAATGAAAAAAAAATCATTCATATTTTAATGCAATCAAGTTATCATCATTAGGTTGATTTTTAAATTTTGTTATAAATAATTTAAAAATATCAAAATATATAAAAATGTATAATTTATAAAAATTATTTGAAGTTTCAAGTTATTTCAAGTTTAATAAAATTTTAATAAAATTTTAATAAAAATAGTACAAAAAAATGTAACTTGTCCAAAATCATTTTTTATATTTTATAAATAAATAATTATTCTTGTACTTGTAATTATATTAACACGTATATAAAAAAATTCATTTGCATAATAAAATAGGCTGCTATTTATGCTCAGAACACATCATTGTCCATTTGATAAACAAGAAGAAAGTAATTCAATGAGCGTTTTGAACATAAATCGAAACACAACTATAATGTAATATAATTCTTTTATTATTTAAAATATCAAGTGCAAATTAATTTCGCAATCCATTGCTTTCATTTATTTTATATATAAATATTGTCATTTTGTGTCAAAGTGTATATGATTCAATAATTTCATCATGTATATTTCATCATGTTTATTTAACTGAATATTATACGAATTATTTAAATAAAAACTTATAATATTTGCTCGGTTATTTTATATAAGTTCAATCAATTTTACATTTTTTTAGCTTTTTTGAAGTTAAT